TAATTGGCCACTAACTATATATAGAAAAATTAGCCGGGCATTGGTGGTGCATGCCTGTAGTCCAGCTACTCGGGAGGCTGAGGCAGGAGGATTGCTTGAGCCAGGTTTGAGGTTGCTGTGAGCAAGGCTGATGCCATGCCACTCACTCTAGCCTGGGCACCAAAGTGAGACTCTGTCTCAAAAAAAAAAAATGATAAATCCAATAGTACGTATTTTGAGAGGAAAATGCAAATGAAATAAGCATCTTCCTGTCAATCTTCTCGCCCCCAATACACACACACACACACACACACACACACACACACACACACACACGATAAAAATAAATAATTAAAATAAAAAATGAGTAATATGCTGGAAGTTTTTAATTATAAAGTAACAATCATTAGTATATGCAGATAAAACAGAAATTTCAATAAACTAGATGATTAACAGAAAAATATAATAGCCAAAATTGACTCAAGAAGTTGAAAAGCTGAAATTTATGACCAAAGGAAAAGTGTTTTAAGTTATCAAAGGAATGTCTAAAGAAGCTTTCTAGTATCAGAGGAGTTTTACAGTTGAATTTTTTTTTTTTTTTTAGACAGAGTCTCACTCTGTTCCCTGGGCTAGAGTACCATGGCATCAGCCTAGCTCACAGCAACCTCAAACTCCTGGGCTCAAGTGATCCTTCTGCCTCAGGCTCCCAAGTAGCTGGGATACAGGCATGCGCCACCATGCCCGGCTAATTTTTTCTATTTTTATTTGTCTGGCTAATTTCTCACTATTTTTAGTAGAGACAGAATCTCGCTCTTGCTACAGCTGGTCTCGAACTCTTGACCTCAAGTGATCTTCCTAGCTTTCTAGAGTGTAGGATTACTGACGTGAGCCACCACACCCAGCCAGTTAAATTATTTTAAACTTTTTACATCTTGACAAAGATATGCAAAAAATATGAAAACTAATTTATTGGTCAAACTTTGTTTTTATACAGCAGACTTCATTTACATCGCTGAGTTTGAATCATATCATTTCCTCTTTCTTCCATTTGCTCATGGAAGTCTGCTTCGAACCTGCCTCTGTTAAAACCCTTGATTTTGGCTAGGGGTGGTGGCTCACGCCTGTAATCCTAGCACTCTGGAAGGCCGAGGCGGGAGGATCGCTCAAGGTCAGGGGTTCAAAACTAGCCTGAGCAAGAGCAAGACCCGGTCTCTACTAAAAAAATAGAAAGAAATTAACTGGCCAACTAAAAATATATAGAAAAAAAATTAGCCGGGCATGGAGGCACATGCCTGTAGTCCCAGCTACTCAGGATGCTGAGGCAGAAGGATTGCTTAAGCCTAGTGGACTTTTGAAGTTGCTGTAGCTAGGCTGACAACATGGCACTCTAGGCCCAGGGACAGGAGTGAGACTCTGGTTTTAAAAAAAACAACAATACCTGATTTTATTTCTTTAGTTCTTGGAGATATTAAAATGTTTTTTTCTGGCAGGGCTCACAGAACTGGTGATTTTGATGAACCTTTGCTTCTTTCATACTTCTTAAGTGACCAGCCACCCAACTCTTTGACTTTTTAACGGCATTCTGATTGCATTCTGGAAAGCTGCTGTGACTTTCAGAGACCATGAGGTCATTATTTCTTAAGTCACTTACTAACCAGTCCTGGTCCAGTTCATTTAAAACAATATAAAATAATTGACACAAGAATAGCTTTTCAGTGAATAGAACGAAAGCACCACCAACAATCATGGGATTTTTACATAAGTCTTCTAATATTAATAATTACCCAAACAACAGGAAAGAGACAACATTGTTCTATTTACTTTTTTTTTTTGAGGACAGGGTACTCGTTGTTGCCAGGCTAGAGTGAGTGCCGTGTCGTCGAGCCTGCTCACAGGCACCTAAACTCCTGGGCTCAAGCAATCTTCTGCTCAGCTCTCCGAGTAGCTTGGGATACAGGCATGCGCCACCACTGTCCGGCTAATTTAGTATATTATAATATATATATGTATATATATTAGTTGGCCATTATTTCTTTCTGTGTATAAGTAGAGAACGGGTCTCGCTACTGCTTCAGGCTGGTTTCGAACTCATGACCTCGATGCATCCGCCCGGCTTGGCCTCCCAGACGTGCTAGGATTACAGGTCTTGAGCACCCGCGCCAGGCCTATTTCTTGCATAAGTAATAGCACTGTAGAAATTGGCTAGCTATTTGGTGATACAAAAAAATAAATAGGCTGGATGCAGTGGCTCACACAAATGGTTAATGGAAAAGAAACTCTAAACGGTAAAATAATTTAAAGAGGTTTATTCTGAGCCAAATATGTACGACAGTGTTCTGGGGAACGTGGTCTCAAGAAGTCTTGAGAAAATGCACCTGAAGTGGCCAGGTTACAGCTTGATTCTATACGTTCATGGAGACAGGTAAAACCGTAAGTGAACACATGGAAAGTATACATTGGTTCAGCCCGAAAAGGAGGGACATCTCCAAGCGGGGGCTTACAAGTCATTGATGGGTTTTAGGGATTCTTCTTCAGTTGGCAATTGGTTGGAAGAGTTAACCTTTGTCTGAAGACCTAGAGTCAGTAGAAAGGAATGCTTGAGTTAAGATAAGGAGGTCTTCTATCTGTCATGTGATGCTATACTGGAATCAGGCTGGAAAGTAAGCCACATAATACCAGGTTAATATTATAAAAACCCATTTAATGAGATTTTAGTGTTTGTAGGCATGATCCTCAGGCCTCTTAGAAAGGAATTTGAGCAAGTGAAAAAGAAAAGGTCAGAGTTCAGTCTTAACCTATAATCCGAGCACTTTGGAGGACTGAGGCAGGAGGATCCCTTGAGCCCAGGAGTAGTTTGAGACCAGCTTGGGCAATGGAGTAAGACCCCATGTCCCCCCCCAAAAAAAAAAAAAA